AACAAGAAAGGAACAGGACTAAGTTATCATACACATTTCTTCAAGAGAAGACAGATAAAGATAGCGCGTTTTATGTGCCAGTAAAGTAAAAAAAAAATAAAGGTCCCTTTCCCGCGCCTTTAGGCGTATAGGGCATATAGGGCTAGACCTATATTTTAAAAGACCCACCGGCACAATATTGATGATGTGGTCAGCATTACGCCGGCCACCTTTACGTGCCGGGACTGCAGCCGGTACCCACTCAAGGCTGGGTCGACAGAGGAGTGAAGGTCATTTTTTGAAAAAAAAGTCCGGCTCAGCCAGGGAGCGAACCAACGACCTTCCGATCCGCACGCGAACGTCTAGCCGCTACGCCACGAGGACTTCCTGTATGTGCTAGTGCTTCCAGGTCCTAACAGGTCAAGGGTCATGTTATGTATGCTATGTACCAGAGGTTAGAGGCGTGATCGCTTCTGTCTGTCATAAAGGTGCTAGACGAGTGCAAAAGGTCCACGCTGCTTGAAGTTGTGAGACGAGTGTTTCTTGAGATTAACGAGTGATAGCGGTCAACACAGGTCTTGCAAGACCCAAGCGAGGCCAGTCCCTGAGTTAAAGGTTAACTTGTTTTCAGTCGGTGCCACTCGGTCGTTGAGAGAGTGCGGACGCCTGTACAAATGTGTGTGACCGATTTTTGTATTTCTGAGTACTATTTTATTTTGTTGGCAAGTTTGAATTTTTCATTAGAATTTCATGTTTTATTTGGGATGCTCAATTTGAGTGTATTTAGTGGAGACAAGATGATGAGAGCCCAACACTTTATCTGACCACTGTGTTATTACCTAATTATAGTTCTCAGTGTTGGTCAGTGCCAATGGCTGTTAATCATAACCTCGCTGAACTTTTGGTGGCAGTACTATTTATCTGCTGCCCCGCAGGACTCCTGTAAAGGATAAGCAAATTTAAAAACAAAATGCCTTTGCTTCCCAAACGTTCGGTTGCCGATACCACTGTCAAAACCAGCGCAATGTGGTCTGCAGCCAGATGGCCTACAGCTGGGATCGAACACGGCTCCTGGGCAATAAGCAGAGCGTTGAAACTCCTAGGCCACAGAGGCTGACATTTTATGCTGCCGTTATCTATCATCTATAAACAGACACATATTGAGAAACTGTTATTTTGTGACGGTGATTATCTTGTAGTTTTATATTGTTTAGATCTACGAACTCAGGGTATTGGAGAGACGGCACGAGCTAACATGCAAGATCGAACCAGGTGATCCCACAAGCGGGCCTGTTTGCTTTCCTGTCAGGTCAAAACATGGACCTGTCTGTCTTCCTGTAAGGTCAAAAAATTGGCCTGTCTGTCTTCCTGTCAGGTCAAAACATGGGCCTGTCTGTCTTCCTGTAAGGTCAAAACATGGGCCTGTCTGTCTTCCTGTCAGGTCAAAACATGGACCTGTCTGTCTTCATGTAAGGTCAAAAAATGGGCCTGTCTGTCTTCCTGTAAGGTCAAAACATGGACCTGTCTGTCTTCCTGTAAGGTCAAAAAATGGGCCTGTCTGTCTTCCTGTCAGGTCAAAACATGGACCTGTCTGTCTTCCTGTAAGGTCAAAAAATGGGCCTGTCTGTCTTCCTGTCAGGTCAAAACATGGGCCTGTCTGTCTGCCTGTCAGGTCAAAACATGGGCCTGTCTGTCTTCCTGTCAGGTCAAAACATGGGCCTGTCTATCTTCCTAACAGGTCAAAACATGGGCCTGTCTGTCTTCCTGTCAGGTCAAAACATAGGCCTGTCTGTCTTCCTAACAGGTCAAAACATGGGCCTATCTGTCTTCCTGTCAGGTCAAAACATGGGCCTGTTTGTCTTCCTGGCAGGTCAAAACATGGGCCTGTCTGTCTTTCTGTCAGGTCAAAACATGGGCCTGTCTGTCTTCCTGACAGGTCAAAACATCAAGTCACCAAAGGAATAACCAGATTATTAAACCCTTCCACAATGGACTACAGATCAATTCGTAACAGGTGTGTGGTGACCCCAGTATAACCATGTTATGTGACTATACGGTTAAACGAAGTTTCCGAGATTGGTACCTGTTTGATTCTCATCCGTGAGATGTAAATCCTTCAGAATACAAATGTTAAAGGGAGAGACTTGATAAAGATAACTACAAATATCCCTGAGAGAAAGGAAAGCCGTCTGTTATGCATGGAACAAAGATAAATGATAAAAAAATGAACCACATATAACAGATTAAACTCATTTTGAATGCTAGTGATACGGGCAAAAGTGAAAAAAAAAATAAAATCATTTACCTGGGAGCTGTTTTGACAAGATGGAAATTCCAGTTCAAGCACGCTTTAAAAGAATGTGTTGTAAGCTACACAAGATACTACTGCACGCACTAAACGGTTCTGCAGAGGTTCGTGTGTACTTAAACTGGCTACACCTGGTTTCAATAACAAGGCAGCGACAAAATCGAAGGATTTTGAATAATTGCCTTTCGCTTTAAAGGTGTAGGGAGGTAGACGGAGGTAACATTATGCGGTATTTTGTATCTAACAAACAAGAACACTGTTAAGTTGCTGCAAGAATTGACATCACAGCACTAATGGAATTCCCATACGCGCTCCATCCTCATCCTCAGCAGCCAACGCAGAGTTCAAATACTAATGGTGCCGGTCGTAATCTGGTTGTTTGATCGCCTTGCCTTTCCTCTGAGCTTAGTGTGACGACCGACCCCTCGTGTCACACCCAGGTGCATCATTCGCTCCATCCCATCTGTCACACCCAGGTGCATCATTCGCTCCATCCCATCTGTCACACCCAGGTGCATCATTCGCTCCATCCCATCTGTCACACCCAGGTGCATCATTCGCTCCATCCCATGTTAATCTAGTTTCTCTTCTGACTTTGTTACTTTTTCCCAAAGGGCTCTGACCACATTTTCATTGTCATGTATCAATTCACCACCCAGCGGTGCAGATCCAGCCAATCTGTCTGCCTGTTCATTTCCCACCACGCCCGGATGACCTGGAGAGAAGATCCAAAGTATGCTCACTACCTGTGACCTTGCAAGTAAAGCTTGCCACTCTGCTCGAAGCAATTGGTTGTATCAAGGAAATGTAATTAGGTGCAAGACAGCCTGGCATACGACATCACAACATCTAGCATGTGAATTAGGGTGGAGGCGGTAACTGCAGCTCTCCGGTGGCTAGAGAACAAGATACACATACATGTCGTAATTGTAACAGACTCTGAAAGCATGCTGAAAAAGGTGAAGACATGGATGCTTCGAGCAGAGTGGCAAGCTTCACTGGAAAGGTCACGGGTAGTGAGCATACTTTGGATCTTTTCTCCAGGTTATGCCAGCGTAGTGGGTAACGAACAGACAGACAGACTGGCTTGATCTACACCACTGGGGGGTGAATTGATACATGACAAAGCAGGTGTAGTCAAGGCCCTTTTGTGAAAAAGCAGCGGAATCAGTAGAGAAAGAAGATAATTATGACCTGGAGAGAATGAGGCACCTGGGTGTAACCAGAGGGTCTGGCCGGCTGACTACACTCTGGGGGAAGGCAAGACGGACATATAACCGTTAGTATTAGAACTCTGCGCTGGCTGCTGAAGATGAGGACGGAGCATGCATGGGAAAGCCCTGAGTCCTGTGATGTCAATTCTTGACTCAGCTCAACTCAATTTTGAATGTACATCATCCTCATCAGGTGCCTTGCCGACTAGCGTGGGCGATCATGCCTCTCCATAATCTGCGATCTCCTGCAGCATGTATCAGTTCGTGTGCCGACATACCTCCACGCAACAAGACTGTCAAGCTTCTCTCGTTGTCTTCCTCTATCCCTCCTTCCACAGATCTTTCCAGTGGTCACAACATGTTCTATTTTCCCTCTTCTCATAACATGGCCGAAAAATGACGACTGCCTCCTTCTGATGTCTGTGATAAGTTGTCTTCGGGCTCCCGCCTCTTTAAAAACTACTTGGCTGCTCTTTTTAGCTGTCCAAGGTATTATAAGCATTCTTCTGTAAAAACACATCTCTGAGGCCTCTAGAAATTGTTTGGCCTGCCTACCGATTGTCCAGGATTCACAGCCATATGTTAAAACTGGATGTATGTAGCAAGCAAGAATTCTTTTTCTAACTCTCAATGACAAGATGTTTTTCATTTTATAAAATGCAGTTTTTGCCTGTCCAATTATGTTTCTTATTTCAGTTATGTGTCTTCCATCTGATGTTATCCATGTGCCCAGATACTTAAATTTCTGTACTTGTCCTAAAATAACACCATCGACTTTCATTACACATTTAGGAATCATTTGTTTCTTTGATACCACCATTACTTCTGTCTTCCCATTATTCAAACTGAGGCCCATTCTTCCACTTTCTAACACCACAATGTCTATCATTTTCTGTAATTCTTTCTGACTTGTTGCTATCAAGACTGTGTCATCAGCATAACGTAAATTGTTTATATTGTGCCCACCAACCACAATTCCGGGCATATCAATTAAAGATCTCATTATATATTCACTGTATATTGAAAACAAATCAGGTGACAGTACAGATCCTTGTCGTACGCTCCTCTTTATGCTTTGAAATGTACCTAAACAGTTGTTAATTCTTATAGCTGCTGTTTGTTGTCAATACATATTCTTTATTATTCGTAGATCTTTCCCATCAATATTTAATTTTTCAATTTAATTTAAATGCACACCAGTTTTTAAATACATGCTTACATTACCAGTTTATTGTGTGTAAAAAAAAATGCACTTATTTGTTTCGATGCATTTATCAAGCTAATGACGTCATGGTTGCCACAGCTGAATCGACGCCATCTTTCTTCAGTGAAGAACAATTCTTCGAGGCCAAACCCGCTGTTCTGCTCCATCGAAGCGGTGGCCAGGAACCCGTGTCCAAATTGTCTGCACAACCTGCTGATTAATTAGGACATTTTCTGATTTCATCTATGCGAAAACAAGGTTTGTCTGAAACATCTCTCGGAGGCATCTTTCTGTCATGACTGACAACGTTGTTCGGCGTGAGATCCAAAGACGTGACGATCCTTTTGGCATTCCAGCCTGCTTCTATTGGACCATCGATGAAGTCGCCGATTGGGTTGAGAGCATTGGTTATGGAAAATACAAGGTATTCGCCTGTTAATTCTTTTCTTGATTGCTTTTTGAAATCTCTTTGTATTGCGTCTCTTCTTCTTAAGAAGCAGAATATGGCATTGTGTCGTTGTTTACAGCTAGGCAGCGATATCTTCTTCCTCTGGCCAACATTTCCAATTTCAGCAAAACCACCAGTTACTCGGGTACTTTTCTTTTAGTTCACCCCATATCGAGACCCCAAGACGCCATGGGGCATTCACAGGAAAGTCCACGATTATTGCGGGAAGGGGCCGTAGCGTTGTGGTTAGTGTTAGACAGTGATTCATTTTACACCCTAACACCCTGATGCTATTGGACTTTCCAAGGAACTCCCCAGGCTGTCTCGGATTCCTTAAGATGAGGTGAACTGACAGAAAAGAACCGGTAACTCATGAACACATCCGATTTCAGGAGAATCCTCAAATAGTCACCCATTGTTAGGGAGGCAGGGACCCACCTCTCAGCATCAAAGGAGCCCCACAACCCACACATTGATGTAGTAAATTTAAATATTGGGGTTGGGTAACTTTTTTTTTACAAATAGTTTCTGAAGAACATTAAAAGAATACAACCCGCAAAGATAGAAACACATGAGGAAGTTTATCAAGAAAATTATGTATTTATAAATGAAATAGATGAAATTAGAAATGAATTAGAGAAATTGGATTTGGCGGTCACAGTTTTGGAAATGTATTGTAAAGTTGTCTATAGTACGTCGCCGTGATGACTCATTGAAATTATCTCCTTCATTCTGGACTCCCAGGTCAAACGACACTATAGGCATAAATGTATGTCCTTCTCCTTTTCCTCGCCATTAGCAAATATCTTCCTTCTCTTTGTTTGCTTACACAGCAATGTTTGTAACCTGGGTTATCACCCTTACATGTTAATTGTCTGCCCTTGTTTCCGTTTCCGCGTTGTCTTATTGTCAATGTTTCTTGTGAACATTCCTGGTACCACGATTCGTCTGTTGGTATCAATGTACCCAAGTATTTCAGTTAATTCTGACGCGTATGATCTTCTATGCCTTGATACCAAACTGCCGAGCATCTTCTCTCTCAGTCTACCCCTGCCTTTTCTCCCCTCCAAATTTCTCACCGTCACGATGTGCTCCAGTTTTCTCCTTCTTATGACAGTTACGAGAGGCCCATGGTGTTGGAATTGACTCCACGCAGAATTATCGAAATTAACTGTACCGCATATAACTAACGGAATGGGGTAGTCCACTCCTATGTGGCATGCGAACTGCGCAGAAAGATCTTCTGCGTTTGTCCTTACAATGGCATTTGGCACGTTCTGTTGTGGTTTTGAGCTAAGTTGAAATATCTGCTCATTTGAGCCCAACATATCCGATTTCAGCAAGTCCTTAATTATTTGAATTATACGACATGCTTGTTAAGCTGCAGTGGGAAGGCTTGAAAAGGGATCTTTACTTTACTTTTACTTTTCTTAAGACGACCGATGTGTTGTTGCCACTGAAAGTGTGAGGCTAGTATTATTGATCCCAAACGTTTGATGGCTACAAAGCCACGCCCCAGTTCGTTGGTGTTTCCGTACAGACAGGCGACTGCTGACCTGCCTAATGAACCTATTCAATTTATTAACACCTTAAACCACCCGGCTTCTTCTGGCAAACGTCATCATCATCGTCTGACTTGCCAACTGGCGTGGGCGATCATGCCTCTCCATAATCTATCTCCAACTGCATATATCAGTCCGTGTGTTGGCACCCCTCTATGCCATGACAAAAGGCTGTCAACATTCTGGCGCTGTCTTCCTCTGTCTCTCCTTCCAAGATCTTTTCAGTGGTCACAACATGTAGCAGTTTCCATCTTCTCATAGTATGACCAAAAATGATAAAAGAGAAAAACAGATAGATAGAAAGTCGGAGATAAAGAGAGAGAGAGAGTCTGAGACAAAGAACGAGATAGAGACATAGTCGAAACACAGAGAGACATAGGCAGAAAGAAAGACAGCGATATACAGAGACATACAGAGACAAAGAAAGACAGAAAGAGAACGATACAGCGACAAAGAGAGGCACAAAGACAGACAGGGGCAGGGAGAAAAAATAAATAGAGAGAAAGAAAGAGAGAAAGAGAGAGATATATAGAGACAGACAAAGACAGAGACACAAAAAGACAGAGACACCGAGAGAATAAAAAAAATAATAAAGAAATGTAGTACCGTATCCCTATTTGTTGACAGCCATTGTTTGTTACAGGAAAATTTCCGATCCCACTTTATAAATGGCAGGAAGCTGTTAACTGTTGACGCATGCGTGCTTCCCAAGATGGGGATCACACATTTTGGAGATATTCTGGTAAGAAGAACAACTGTATTTTGTCTCGTTTGGTTGCTAAATTCATGGCAATAAAGTTGTGCTCTTGTCTCATTCTGTTTTGCTTATTTAAAAAATTCCTACTACAGTCTCGTACTCTTGTCTTATTCTACTTCGTTAATCAATGACTACCTTCATATACTACTCGGGCTCTTGTCTCGTTCTACATTCTGCTTTATAAATCAGTGTCTGCAGTCATATAGTTGTGTTCTTGTCTCATTCTACCTTGTTAATCAGTTACTAAAACTAAAGACCTGTGTTCTTGTCTCTTTCTACCTTGTTAATCAATTACTACAACTAAAGACCTGTGTTCTTGTCTCATTCTACTTTGTTAATCAGTTACTACAACTAAAGACCTGTGTTCTTGTCTCACTCTACCTTGTTAATCAATTACTACAACTAAAGACCTGTGTTCTTGTCTCATTCTACTTTGTTAATCAGTTACTACAACTAAAGACCTGTGTTCTTGTTTCATTCTGCTTTGTTAATCAGTTACCGCCTCATTACATCCTAAAACACATGCTCACTGACCGCCTTATTACGTCACAACATAAATATTCTCTGACCGTCTCATTACGACCCAACATACATGCTTACTAACCTCCTCATTACATCCCAACACACATGCTCACTAACATCCTCATTGATAAAGACTTGACCCGCTGCTCCGGAGCATGTCGTAAGATGCGACAATAAGTGTTTTGGCGCGGGGTGGGGGAGCCTCATGATGCCTAAGGCTAAGGTTCCAGTGCATCTGTTGACGTTGGGGGTTATACGCTTTGTTGTCTTGTCCGACAAGTTTTTACATAAAATTTTTATTTAGTATTTCGCTGATAAAGAATCTGGTCGAAACATTCGGTTATATTAATACACGTACTTCTTCCGTTGAGCTTTCTAGTCGAAGTTTGTACTGGATTAATATTTCTGGAGTTTGAAAAACTCCTCCATGGAGTAATTTGTATGTGTAGTTAGCCCAATCTAAAGAATGCATACTTAGTGAACACACGTCCCAAAGAGCATTGTCTGGACTGTACTAGTGTGGCCAGATTTTTTGTTTAAAGTTTGAGGACTACTTTTTATTTCAGAACTCAGTGGCGATCTACTTTTAGACTCTATAGAGCAGAGCTTTCGAAACTGTATGTCGCGATGCACTAGTGTGTTGGCTACCGTGTGAATGTGTGAAGGTGTGACCGTATCTCTTAAAAGAATTTAATTTAACCTCTGGTTTACTAGAAGTCGGTGTTACTGTGTCGCGAAATTAGGATTCTCCAGAAACGTGCTGTCACTACTGAAAGTTGGAAAAGCTTTGCTGCAAGGATAGACAGCATCCCACAGACAGCATCCCACAGGCCAGCTCGGGCTACCTCCCACGGTTTGCCGGACGACCAGCAAACGGCCGTCGATGCGTTTGTCCGCTCTCCATGTTTACACGAGACCAGCACCATGTAGCTATGACGTATCGAAACGCGAAAACTGGACTGTTACTTTGGCTTTACACGCACACACGCACGCACAAACACACCCACCCACCAAACCACACTCCACACACACACCACACTCACCTCACACATACACCACATACACACCACATACACACCACACACACACCACATACACCACACACACACCACAAACACACACCACACACACACATACACCACACACACACCACACACACGGGTGTTGGTTGCCTTGATGTTTCACTTAAGATCCTTCCCGCTGATCGTTTCTTCCATGCCATCTCACTCCCATTCCCAATCACACACACATACACAAACAGAGAGGCACAGACAGACAAACACACACAATTAAGGGACAGTCACATTTAAAGGCGGTAAAATATTATTAGTATTATTTTAGCGTTCTGGCATTAAACTAGCATAGCAATAGATATACTGAAGTTTAGCTGAGGGAAGATCAGTGCGTAAGATAAAAGATTGTGCAGGGGCGACATACATCTTAAATACGGTGCTGACACACACATACTCCTACAAACACACGAACACAGACACACAATGTGTCTTTATTAGTCCATGTAGCTTTTACTTGTTCTATTTGGGGCTAATAATGTTCCTGTTAACCTTCGTAAAATTAACACCTGTGAAATGAGATGCCGGAGAAAAGCCTCCAGCGTAACCATCCGAGACAAAGTTAGAAATGATAATATCAGACAGACTGTAGGAACGAAACCATGCAGCACATTCATTGAGAAACAGAAGATCGAATGGTTTGGTCATTGAGTAAGAATGCAACCAGAACAACTACCCATGCAGACGCTTCACATGAAAAGATATGATGTGAAAGCAAGAGGCCGCCCGTGGAAACATGGATTGATGACATTAAAGAGCTTCTACGTCGACATGGAATGACAATAGCCATGGCCGATCACCAAGCAGTGGATCGGATACTGTTCCTCCCCACAATGCGTAACGGCAGAAGTTGAAACGGATGATGATGATGGCGATGATGGTGATGATGATGAATGTTAACTCTTGATGAAACAAACGCGACGCGTGTAACCAAGAGTTTGTGATCAACCAAGCGTTTTAATCAGACAGTTTAATACCGTCTCTACAATAATGGTAGGCTGTAATGAATCTACAATATTTTCTTGTCTCCCGCCCTGTGTGTACTTCACATATTGTTGTTCGTCTAACTACCAGTGTTATTGTTCTACTTTGCCCATTTACGAGGTTATTGTTCTTCTTGTATCGCTGTCTACCTCTTGCTCGCCTGCCTTCTTCTTCTTCTTCACTTCTTCTTTTACCGCTGTGGGTGTCGAGGGAGATATAAGGTTCTGTTTCTAGCTCTTTTGGCTGCCTCGACCATAGGCACATCGTGCTATTGTAGAGTTTCTCTTATGTTATCCTTCCATCTTGTTCTTGGTCTACCCCGTGCTCTACGTCCTTCTTCTCTTTCCATGTATGCTTTGTATGGTATGGTGTCACAAGGCATTCTCTCAAAGTGGGCAAACCATTTCATTTGCTGTCTTTGTATGTAATCCAGAATTGGTTCTGTGCCGACTTGTTCTCTTATGATCTCATTCCTGATCTTATCTCTTATGTTCACTCTTACAGCCCTTCTCAGACATCTCATTTCCGTGGTTACTAATTTTCTTTTATGGTTTGTTGTGAGTGACCATGTCTGGCACTGGTAGCACAGAGTTGGAATAAATATGCTTTGAATAAGATGTCTCTTTGTGCTTATTGGGATTGTCTTATGCTGTAAGAGGAGGGCTAGCTGTCCCAATACTTGGTTTGCTTTACTGCATCTAATGTTAATTTCTTTATCCAATTTCCCATCTTCGGTAAATGTAGTTCCCAGATATTTAAACTCAGATGCCTGTTTAATGCCTTTGTATTCTATTTTTATGTTTAGATCTGTCTTCTTTTTTCCTATTGACATTACTTCTGTCTTTTCAGTGTTGATTCTCATATTATTTGTTTTACATTCTTCATACTGCCTTCAGTACCATGATGTATATCATCCTTCCCTTTGCTCTGAGTGCAGAGTGTCGACTAGATCCCCTGGTCTCACCTAGCTGTACTATTTTCTGCAGACCATAATGATCTGTTCGTGCCTCCGCGTTGTTCACTTGCTCCCAAAAGGCCTTGACCCCATCTTGCTTGTCATGCATACATTCACCACCCATGCTGTCGGCTTGTTTATTTCCCAATACTCCTGCATAACCGGTGAAAGAATATCCAAAGAACGCTAACTACCCGGGACTTCTGAAGCGATGCTTGCCATTCTGCGCGGAGCATGGATATCTCTACCTTTTTTTTTTTTTACCGTACTTCGTGAGTCTGTTAAAGTCCCGACATGTGTGTCAGCGGAAAGCTACTCTGCCGGCTGTGACTTTTTCCTCTAGCATAGTGTTGTGTTGTTGTTTGTCTGTCACAGGTGATAAAGACCACTGAAACTGTAGCTGATTGTCTGTGAGAATTGAGATGACTTGTAAGCTCAGTACGGGCCCGAAAGGATCTAAGACAATGGGGACAGGGAACAGTGTGGGTAGATAAGGGGTCTGTTATACGGGTTTTTCTAGTCTGCCTTCGCCGAGCCAAAGGGTAAACAACTCAGGGTTTCTGGATATTTAAAAAAGCAGCCCCTTTTTCTGTATGTCACAAACGTTGCTACACCTCTTCAGATAAACGTTCGGCAAGTAGTTGCTTGGTTTTATAATAGGGTCGTGCTTTTAATATAGCAAACGTCTGTGGCAGAAGTCTGATATTTTTGGTGAAAACTGCCAAGTATTTGTGAAAGGTTTGTATTGGAGGGATTGCTTTACCATTCGTTTGTGAGGGGAGATTGGTATTTGAGGGATGATTTTACCTCTCGTTTGGGAAATCCTTTTCCCATATAGGACGAATATTTCTTGATTTTGAAACCCCGCCCTGGCTGTTGACAGTGACCCTAATATAACGTTTTGATTGAACAGGGTTTGTGTGACCTCTGCACGGATGATCCTCGTCCGAATAGTGGCGCTTTGTTTCAGCGGGTGTTTATCGCTCAGTGTGATGTCCTAGTGGGGTAAAAAGTCAGTCAGTCACTCGTTTGTGAGAGGAGATTGGTATCTAAGAGATGATTTTTTACCACTCGTTTGTGAGAGAAGATTGGTATTCGAGGGGTGATTTTACCACTCGTGTGGGAGAGGAGATTGGTATTCGATGGATGAATTTATCACTCGTTTGTGAGAGGACATTAGTATTTGAGGGATGAGTAAACTGCTTGTTTGTGAGATGAGTTGGGTATTTGAGTCATGATTTTACTGCTTATTTGTCAGAGGAGATTCGTATTTGATGGATGATTGTTACCACTCATTTGTCAAACTCAGAAAGCCACAAAAACGATCTTTTCTCAGAATGCGCATAGCGGAAAACGTCGTTGATTGCAATGTTAAACGATTTTCGCTAAACTCTAAGGCACAGAGCCATAATGGACGAAATCTATACTAACTGGAGCATATATCAATCCACGCC